AGACCTGATTCATCTGCACGACGTGCTACGCTCTAACCCTCGGACTGACTTCGGGACCAAGATGACAAGACTGGAAGAGAAAGTATATTGCGTTACCGAATATTACAGAGAAATATCCATTTACGCATATGCGTTTCTATCCCTAAAAATGAATCCATTTCCTGACCGATGGTATGCAGTTGTCTTTCTGGCCGTTTGTGCTCATCTTTAGTGACAAGGCAAGTTTGAGTTAGGGGTTCTTTATCCAAAATCAGCCGTCTGTCACGGATGTGGTTTACGCCTCACGCCAGCCATTTCTCTCGAACATCGTTTCTGTAGACCACGTTACCTACTCTTCGTAGGACGGTTGCTACCGAAAGAAGCCTCCACTGCCGAGTTTTTGTTACATATGGTGACAACCCTTTAGACAACTGACATTTAGATCTCACCTTGGGTTTATAATCTCATTTTCCTGTCTGTTGATATACGCTGTTGGATAAAGTCTGAGCACTGATTCAGCTGCAGTGCCATACTTAAGTGATGCTGGGTTCAGGGTTATTCTGTATGCTCACATAAACTTCTGAATGAAATTTTCCATCGTATCTTCGTCTTTTGACTTGATGAAAGCTTGCTTGAAATTTTCGACGAAACGCTCAGCTTGACTTTTTAACTGGGGGTGGTAGGGCAGTACCCGAATGTATGTATTTGCGTTCTTTCAACAAAAGTCCGAGGACATTTTCTTCGTGAACTGTGGTCCCACGTCCGTAACTAGTGTTTCTAGTAAACCAAAGCTTCCGAAATGTCTATTCAGCACCGCCGTTGTCGATGATGAGGTTTGAAGCACTAAATAAATCTCTGGCCATTCTGTAGACGAGTCGATTATTCTGAGAAAGTGTTGACCATTTAATGACCAAGCGGAATCAACATGAACACGAGACCATGACTTTATTGTACGTATTCATGGAAATATCTGTATTTTCAGTGGTAGTTTTGCAGCTTCAACACATTGTGGTTACTTCTTCATCATGCTTTCGACGTCTTTATTCATTAGTAGCCAATACACATATCTGTGTGCCAATGACTTCAAAAGCCTGACACCAGGGTTACCTGAGAGTAGTTGCTTTAGTATTCGGGATCTGAAGGTCGTTAGAACAGCTGAGTGTTCTTCAAACAACATAGATTAGTTGGTGATAGGAACTATACGAAGTTGACGGAAATACCCTATTAAACGATCGTGGAATTTGTTTGGCCAACCGTCATGCACGTACTTCACGACCTGCTGAAGTCCATAGCTCGACTGTGTAGAGTCCTGAACCATGTTTGCAGTGACTGGAGAGGCGTTAACAGAATATAACATAACTAATTTCTCTTCGTCTTCAATTGCTATTGCCTCAACAACACAATCCTTACTGATTAGTTAGTTTGAGTTGATTAATCTCGATAACGCATCAATCTGTTCAAGGCTGGTTGTTAACATGTATATGATAGTAGAATCACGACCATATCGAGTGTAACCCACCCCTGGAAACAATTTGCGTCAGACATTGGAATGCTTTTCGTTGAGTCGAAAATTTATAGATGTCTATGAAATATGAAACGTCGTTCATAGATCATGTTATGAAATTTTTACCACAAATATATTTGCCAGTGCTTCTTTTTCCATTCAACTGTAAAATTTTTACGGAATGTGATAGTGGTTTGGACGCGTCTACAATAATTTGAGAACCATTTAATTAAATATGCGAAATAGCTGTCCTTAGTTTATAGTTTGAAGCATCACACGTAGTGATTGTTTAGAGATTACGATCATAATGTGTTGGCTGCGTACTTGAAGACAGCATTTTCTCGAAGTTAACAGAGCTCATTTGGCATGTGGGATATCAGTATCAATTCGACTCTCTACTCGGAGGTTCACTGAAAGACGTATGATGTTGATGCATAGATAGAAGAAATGGACACAGTGATTTACTAACTGCAGGAATGATCCTAGGAAGATGAGGTCAGATGGCAGTGAGACATGCTACATGGCTTTAATATTCTTTGGATCACAAAGTCTTCCGTAACGATCGACGACTAATCTAAGAAACTCGATTAAAGTCATAAAAATGTTATATTTCGTTTGTTTTAGTTCAAACCCATAATCTTTGATAATCACGAAAAACATATGCAGACGTTGAAATCGTTTTTCTGTGATTGTACCAAAAACGAATATACTATCCATGTTCGCCATAACACTCTGGACGCCTGTATGTATTACATCCATAATTTGATGGGATGTGGGCGGGTCTGACTTGAAACGCGGGGCGAGTATAGTAATAGGAGCCCAGGTGTGAATTGATGGTAATCAATGCTTTGGAAGCTTCACCAACTTTTATCTGTGGATGTGCATCAGCGAGGTCAATATGATAATTGGAAGTATTTGAAATATTGTGCTAACCAAGAATACCCGAAATTGTGCTGTTTAATGCAGGTACAACTAAATGAGCACTAATGAATAGATTGTAGTTAGAATTCGTAATGAGCGCGTAATCAGGTACAAAGGAACTATCAGTTAGTTTAAGTACCACATCAATCTTTGCCAAAAATATGCCTTCGTTCAAGTGTAGAAGAAAATCATCAGGAGTGGGAAGTGGAAACTGATGTTTTCCCAGGGAATCATCTAGTTCAGTTGAAAAATCAACACATGTTCCAATTGAATCACAACATTTTTTGCCACCGTAATTAGTGCTGTCCATGAGGAATAGTTGACTAATTCGAGAACACTCGAAGCTTCTATTATTTCTAGTTTTTGTCTGGTAAAAAGTGTGCTGCATAGAGAACTAGGTCTCCTGATCGGAAAACAGGTTTTGCATCTGGTACCAAACGTAGTTTAGCTTTTATCTCAATACAGCAGCCAAGATCATTTTGACAAACATTGAAAAACTTCCGCTTCAATTGGTCAATCGTATGAGAATACAAATTTTGCTGGAGAGTTGAACGAGATACCTGGTTACAAATAAGCTTAGATTGTATTCCATTATGGGATCGTTAAAATTGACAATACATCTGATAATTCCTGAAATTTTGATTGGAATATCCGATTCATTTTTTGCGCAATGAGTAGTAGGACGAATGTTTGACCTAACAAGTTTGTTCCATATTTTGCGAGATATCAAAGTATCATCGGATACTGTTTCAAACTGCAATGTGATAACATGATTATTACCACGAATGGATACATATTCGCGTAAGCACTGAGGAATAAAATTGATTAAAACATGTACAAAACTGATTCTTTCTGACACTCGATAATGCGATGAGAGTTTTCGGCGTTTGCTAAACCTCGCCTATTGCCAGACACTCTACATGTTGCGCACTTGTGACTACGGAGTAGGCAAAAACGGGTGAAACGTCACGCCCCACAATTTCAGTAACCAGTGGGAGTTCTTAAAATGTGACATGGATTAAGGTTCAGAATTTCAAATATTCGGTCTGGGCGAGATAATTCTCGTCAGTCATGCCTTGAGACATCAATAATACAATCTGAATTAAAAATTTCATCAAATCAGATAAATAAGGATCAGTGGAGGTTATATGATCAAAATTCGGACATTCGATCAGTTTTTAAGTTTACTAACACGACAACGTTCATTAGTGATACCTAACAAGGTAAGACTAATTTCTGACTCTATTATGCTTAAAAATGTGGTAGGAATGTCTGAGTCTGACAATGATTGCAATCCACTTACGAAATCATCATAAGGTCTTTTATCAGTTTTATGATAATTATATCACCGGATGAACAAAGAAATGAGTAGTAAAATTTCCTGTTGACTTTTGCACAGTATTGTTAAAAAAGAAATCGTAGGGGCTTTTTGAGAAGATAAGATTTGAATACATGAAAATTTGATTGATAAACATTCTCTCGATGAATGGTGTTCATAACATCTGAAGAGAATATAATCCAGGAATCCAATACTCAGATAGCCTGAGTCACTCCATATTCAACCGCCAAATGCTTGTACCGATGTTGACAAAGTTACAAAATTCAGGTATTCGGAAAATCATCGGACTTTTCAGAATTACATTGAATATTTGGCAATATGCAGATTGTCTTCATTTGGCAGACAGGCAGATAAAAACCAAGTGATTTAATCACCGGACCTGTTCTCATGGTTGTTGTACACTTCTCTCTCATTTTTCCCTTTTCGATCCTGCTACTTTCATCACTACTCACGAGCATTGCGAATATAAGATTCATTAACATCATCTTTTGGGCATACATGAAATACTTGAAACGAAATCGGATTCCTGAAATTTTAAGTCGCCAGGAACTATAGTAATAACGACTGTCAAGTCAGTGAGTCTAAGAAATACCTCGTTAATTTTGAAGTTTTCCGCAGTGAACATTCACCCATCCATTGACTTGAAGGAACTAACAATCCAGCCAGCTAGTTGTGGCTTAAATAAGTGGCTGTAATAGCCCAATCAGAGACTAATGAATACTCGAAGAGCTCCATCATTTTCAATAGACATGTGCTAGAATGTGCACATTTAGATGCCCCAGATATTCGGAATTTTACAGCACTCTTACACTTAACACCTTTATGATAAAAGGATAACAACCAAGTCATAAGCCAAAAATGAGGGTGTTCAAAGGTTCATTTGGAAAGTTGAGGATCATCTGACATAACTTGGCCAGATGTTAAGGGTGATGCGTAACACGGAGTACTCACTCGTGATCTAGTGCTAATCTGTGATCGAGCACATTCATCTAGGGTGTGTCCAGAAAAACTAATGAAATTAAGATCAGTGTTGAGGACTTATGGAACTATTTATATTGGGGATTTATTTACCTCTACAGTGGTCTTAGAACTGATGTTCGTGTCAGAGTTTAAAAACTATAGACTTTACGCTGAACGATATTTTCGTGCAGCGTTTCACAAATGTTGACAGTATCAGTTCTATATACTATTTCTAACTCGTCTTAAGATATGTAGTCATGTATTTTGGGAGTGTGATATTGGAATCTTTAATTTGTGACCAACAAAGGGGTGGGGTATTTGATTACTTCTCCGCATTAGAATCTATAGGTCATATTAGAAATTATCGCAACTTATTAGTCACATTTAAGTTTCATTTTCAAAATGTCCGGGCAGGGAGATCGTTTTAACATATTTCCATCTCGGATGTTAGTTATTTTATTTGCCCGACACTATTTTCTTCTCCCCATAATCAAATAGGGCGCAAACAGCCATGAAAGGAAGACTTAAAGGTGCTCAAAAAGGCCATAGACTTCTAAAACGGAAGGCAGATGCTTTAACCGTTCGTTTCCGCAGCATATTAAAGCAAATAATACAAGTAATTCATCAAATGTTTATTAAAAGCTGTAGGCGAAACAAGCAATGGGTGAAGTTATGAAGGAGGCTAATTTCTCACTTGCTAGTGTTAAGTTCACAACAGCAGCAAACATTAACAGCCTAGTACTGCAGAATGTGACTAAGGCCCAGAGAAAAGTCAAGACGGATAAAGAAAATGTTGCAGGTTGGGACATTAAAAACCACTTTACTTTCCAGGTGTGCAGTTGCCGGTTTTCAAAGTCGTTGTGGAGGGGTCTGACAGTAAGTTTGAACTTTGCACAGAATCGCGTGCATCTTTGTGCTGGTAAATTGGGTCTTGCAATTGCGAAGTCTGTGGTTTTGATACGATTGTAAAATAATGTTCTCCAATACTAGGTTGGTGTCACACACATTGATTAGTCTTAACGTGATTGTACAAGCTTATATGTACATTTATAGGTACATTGTGTCCCATGATATGATAGCTTGAATGTCTCGATCTCTATGGACATGGTAAGATAGTGGATATTAGTCTAGTCTTATTAGTTAAATTGACTGGGATCTTAGCTGGTATCTGGAACTGCACGTAATGCCACCTAACCTGTCTCAACTCCTGATCCTCCTGTTCTATAAAAAAGGACAAAAATCCTCTTATGATGACCATAGATGGGTCAGATCGATCAATATATCCAAAATTTTAGCTTCGATAGCCATCAGACTTTTAAATAGGACTCGTAATGAGTGAGCCTGGAAAAACGGGCTTGGTTTCTAAATTGTATATGAATGTGCCACAAATGTTTTCTGTGATCTGACACTGCGAAACTTTCGATAATCAAAACCAATGAATAGAATGCTAGTCGATAAGTAAACCCCCATAATATTTTATGAACGAGTGGTGAACACATGATTGATTTGAGCCGTTAAACGGTTAGAAATCGAGATAAGACCACTAACCAAATGAATAGTTTCTCATATAATAAAATAACAGCCTCATATTAAGTATATGAGCATGATAAAAAATGTAGGAGTTTGGAGAAAATTAGTTTGTAGGTCAGTCATTCTCCAATCAATTAAGGCCTGACTGATAGCCCTAATCTTTGGACATCCTATCAATATGTCGGCCAAATATTCATCCTTCGATACGCTACGAAACATGGACATACTTCATGATTCCCAAATTTAGTTATGTATCCCTTGACCATAAAACATCGTTGGACTCTGTTGATTTGGAGGTTCTGCGGCAGTGTTTGCTACCAAAAGGTACACTAAAGTAAAGTATATCAAAGTTGTACAGCGTCTCTACTCAAACATTTTCGGTCGAGTTAAGGCTCATGGCGAACTGTCGTAAAAAGTGTCAACTTTAAATGGTGTTCTTCAGTTACCCAGTTTATTTTTTTTGAACTTCGTCATAGATATTCTTTCAGGGATAATTTTTCGTACTATAACTTGATTTGTTCGCTGACTTACAATACATAGGTGAGATTGTTCTGTTTGATAAAAATGCTGAAGAAATGCGATCTTTTAACCACCCTAATAAACAATGAATTTCTATTCACCTAAATGCAAATCTCGCTTCAGGACTTATTTGCCTCATTGCTTAAACTAATGATTGGGAGTAAAGCAACTGAGTGTATTAATGCACTACACTTATCATTGAATTCTCGCTACCTCTGGTTGACTGGTGCCTGATGAAACCTCGTTACTGATTCAGAATTACTAACTCGTGTTACTGGTGACATAGGCGATGTATACGTCTACCAATCAAAGGACAAGTATACTGCGCTGCAGTTCTCGCTTTTCTGGTTTGTGGATATGAAATAACCATTGAGAACAAGGGGTATTTGTGGATTACTGTTGTTTGATCATTGATTCATTCGAGCATCAGAATATAATCTAGGTTTAATCACAAACACTATAGGATATAAATCCATCTATACCTCAAATAGTCTCAAAACACTATTGTCTTATTGCCTTCTCGTGGTGGGGGTGTTGTTTACGAAAATGGGAGGACGAAAAGCGAATATCCGGCGCTATAACCGGATCCCAAATCACTGGTGCACATGGGCTCCAGTATCCTGCGAGAACAAACGGCGTATGAACCAATTTCTTGGTCACCGGCTTCCATGGGACTGCACCTCCTCACGATGCTTCACTGCCTTGTGGGTCAGACCTTTAGGTCAAAGGCTCGGGGTGTGGTCCCCTAAGAAAACCACCTGCTTCGGTCTGTGCACCCGGGCAGTATTTCAGCCCACACACTAAAACATGATGAACTATTTACTTATGGAAAATATTCCTTTCGCTCCGATTAACAATGAAATGACTCGCACTGTTATTATTATTATTTACTACGTCATTCACTCTCTTTTATCCCTACTCTGTCTGTCCTTATTTTTCGACTTATACAGCAGCTCGCCTATGGTGGAAATTCGGCTCTATATAAACGTTCTGGAGTCACTGTCTGGTTCAAAATTGTATGTTACTACCGAATACGAATACTGAAGCAGTTTTCCTGAAACTACGTGCACCATACAAACTGGCCACCTTCAATGTTCGCACACTTATGCAGGTCGGACAACAGATAGGGCTGGCTATGTCTTTGGAAAGTTTTAATATTGACGTGTGTTGTCTATCCGAGACCCGTATTCACGACTCTGGTGAAGTACTACAAGTTTGCTCTCCATCTGTCACTTCAAAAAGCTTGTTTTACGTGCGTTTATCCGAGGACCCTGTGGCATCTTCGTCTGGTCTTGCTGGTGTTGGTGTCGCACTAAGCGCTAGAGCTGAGGCAGCACTAGTCGACTGGATCCCCATTAACAGTCGGTTATGTGCTGTTAGATTAGAAAGTTCCATCAAAGTGAGAAGAAATCGGCATGAGAAACGATGCCTTTTCGTCATCTCTGCCTATGCCCCAACAGATTGCAGCCCGGATGCAATCAAGGATGAGTTCTACCACCAGTTAACTGTTCTTCAGAAAGTGCGTTCGACAGATATTGTAGTACTAGCTGGAGACTTGAATGCTCAGGTCGGGCGTCTAGGCACAGAAGAGAGTCGTTTAGGTGGCCGATGGGGACTTGTTGGTCGCAGGACAGATAACGGAGAACGTCTACTGCAACTGTGCACAGACCACAACCTGTTTCTGGCTAGCACTAACTTTCGGCACAGTCATCGCCGATGTGCCACCTGGTGTCCCCCTTCTGCATCTCAAGCCTGGACTCAGATTGACCACATCGCGATCAGCTACCGCTGGCGTGGTTGTGTACAAGACTGCCGCTCCTTTTTGAGTACCTATCTGGACTCTGATCATGCTCTGGTCTGCGCCAATCTTACCTTACTTTTCAGTGGACAATGAAGTGACCGCCACCAAAGGATTAATGCTAGCAAGTTGGTTGCAACTTCTATTGCTATTAAGTATCGAACCGAGCTAGTTTCTAGGCTAGCTACCATTCCATCGAAAAGTATAGATGAACATTGCTTGCAAATTCATGACGCGATCAAAATGGCGAGTAAAGCCGCTTGCAGCTTTGCGAAACGTCCTCAGGCATAGTGAGGGTATACAACCACCTTTCTCCATTATTCCATTCGAGCAGTCGGGTTAGGCAGGGTTGCCCAATCTCACCATTCCTCTTCAACTTTGCCATCGATGACATTCTGGAAACAGCTCTGATGGATGTAAGCAATGGTGGTCTGGATCAGTTGCCTGGATAAAGACTTCTCGACCTTGAGTATGCGGATGATATTGTCTTACTGTGCGAGAATGCCCAAGCTATGCAATCCGCACTTAATCATTTGGTAATCAGTGTTTGTAGGTATGGCATGTGCTTTGCACCATCGAAGTGCAAAGTACTTCTACAAGACTGGCAGGATTCTAATCCTGTACTCACTCTGGATGGTGAGCAGATAGAAGTAGTCGAAAAGTTTGTGTATCTAGGTACTTGCATAAGTGCTGAAGGTGGCGTGAGTGGTGAGATCAATGCACGTATAGTGAAAGCCAGAGCGGCTTAGGCCAATCTGGGCCATCTTTGACGCCTTCGTGATGTTAGTCTGGCTGTAAAAGGTCGGATCTACAACGCGATGGTGAGAGCAGTTTTGCTCTATGCTTGTGAAACCTGGCCTCTCCGAGCTGAGGATGTTAGGAGACTCTCTGTGTTCGATCATCGCTGTCTCCGAAGGATTGCTGGCATCCAGTGGCAACACCATGTCAGTAATGCAGAGGTTCGGCATCGTGTGTTCGGTCACAGAGACGATAATGAAATTGGTGTCACCATCTTGAAACACCGACTTCGGTGACTTGGACATGTTCTACGAATGTCGTCCCAGAGAATTCCACGTCGTGCATTATTTGCCGACTCTGGGACTGGTTGGAAAAAGCAGAGAGGTGGTCAGTATGTGACATGGTGTCGTGGTATGAAAGGAAGCTGCAAAGGGCTAGTTTCTGTTGGTCCTCCACGACTCCCTGGCTGGGGTCCTAGAGATGGATCAACACAGTGGCTAGAAACGTTATCAGATATGGCTCAGAATAGAAGTCAGTGGCGATCCTGCTGTCACCTTTTTTTACTTTCTTCATAAAAAGTGGTTGCTTCTTCCTTAACTGAAAGATTTCTTCTGATTGTACCTTCCGTTTCCCCCATTATTGTTCTCTCTCTGTTTTTTTATAACTCCCTACGTTTATGACATTTTTCCCTTCTCTTTAAATTCTCATTGTTTTGTGTGGCGCATATATATTTGGTGCCCCCTTGTACCAATATTTGTGTTCAAATAAATAAATAATGTCTTAGTCCGCTTTTGTCAAAGCAGTTCTATGGTGGTATATTATATTTATCCTTTGGCGTGAAAATTTTACTTAAATTACGTTTAACGTAGTGTTCTTTTTGAAAAATCTAAATATTTATTTACTAATTTGTTTGTTTTTTCCACTGTTCTGTAGCATACGAATTGACAGGTTTAGCTGGTGGTGGTCAACAAATCGACCGACTAAAAAAGAACTACAGCAAAGCTGTTGATTTATTAGTTGACTTAGCATCTCTCCAAACGTCTTTCATTACTTTAGACGATATCATAAAAGCAACTAATCGTCGAGTGAATGCTATTGAATTTGGTAAACACATTTTTTTCGTCAGATTTTCTTATATTTGAGTCATATTTGCTACACATTGATGTTTCGTGGTAAAATTACTTTTCGAGGTGTAGTTGAATGGTTTATTTATCGTTTAATTAAAATCAAGGAATTGATACATTAATCAGAAAATGAGTCGACATCATTTCGATCACAAAAAAATTGCAGTATATTAGTAGTGGCCGGAAAGAGAGCGAGTGCTACACGGAAGATGCATCAGAAAGCGTCTATTACTCTTTGGTTTTCATTCTCTTCGCTTTTTTATTTAGAGGTTGAGGAATTCTCAGGATTGGTAATTGCTTTTGGTGCATTAGTTGTTTCTGAGCTGTCAGCAAAGTGTTCAGTTTGCGTGCACTTGGTGCGCTACATTTAAAACAATTACAAACAGCCTGATAGTCAGTCAGTTGGGTAGAACCATTTTTATTAAGGATAGAGCAATATTACTCGCACCTGTTTGTGTATCCCATCTTTTTCATTCCAGCATACACTATAAGAACTCTTAGTCAGCTTATGCTGATTATTCTTCCACTGTAACTCACATTTGACAGTGTAACTTTTATTTCTGCGAAAAGTATCATTATGTATTAAACTGGGTGTAGATTACTGACTGAAATCAAACTAATGACCGAAAGATAAAAAAATAAGTGTTTAAAAACATGGCAAAACATTTTTCTTACCAGAATAGCAATTACGTACTGATTATTTAGCACAAAATCAGTAAACATAAAGGCTGCTTAAATCTCGAGTCGGTCTGTGGAATAAAGGTATTTTGGTGTTACCCACCAGTCGATGAAACTGATATCCGATTATCGCCACTGATTCTTGTCTTCCATATCATCCCTACGAAGATATGTGGAGTCGTACACAGTCAAATTACGAAGTTCGAGATATTCTTAAAGTTTCTTTCAGTAAGCTGCATCTTGGAATTCAAATCTCAGCTTCTGTAGGCAGCAGACATTGGGATTGAGAAGTTTGAAATACATGTAAGTAGTCTTCATATTCCTTTCAGTTTTTAGCTCTGAATATATTAAGTCCCTTAAGATATTTTGTTATGAACAATCAGTTTGTCTTCGTTAACATGGGACCAACATCCTGTTTAGATTTAATAGATCGTATGTTATAGTTTAGATCTTATGTACTTGAATGATTTATTCATCAAAAATCTGAGCTTTAACAGACAAACTAGATAATTGCTCATACTTTCGACAGTTCTTTGTAATATTGATCACTGCTCTATCATATTACGACCACTGTATATTTTGTTGCACGTATTTTTCACTAAAATGTATGTAGTTATCGAATTAATTCAGTATCTTCCCATATATTTAGTATTTCGACATCTATTTTAGTTATCATACCGAAAATTGAGCGTACACTAAACTATATTACACAAGAACTGGATGAACGCGAAAGAGAAGAATTCTATAGGTTAGCTTCAGATCTATCATTATAGCTCATATTTGAATTACATATTTCTGAACTTTGTGTTGTACTTATGTTTTTGTCAATGCTTGTTTAATGTTTTAAGTTATTGAAGAATATGTAAGGGGAGTAAATAAGTTTGTTGGCCCAAAATAATCATCTTAATATATCTTCTAATACTCATTAGTTGTGTTTAACTTGTTCCATATATTTCTTATGCAAAATAATGAATTTCACTGTGACATATCCTACTTTGAAAGAGACGGTATAAACGCACAAATGCGCACACTATGTAATGGAACAAAAATAGGATATAAGTAAGCAAGATGCTGACTTAAACTATCGAAGTCTTTGCAGCTCTTCAGATAATTAAAATAACCCATAGTGTCATTGAATAAGAAAAAGAGAATTCAGCAAAGAAAATTTTCTTTTCGACGAAATCATTTACTTAAGCTGTACATTCGTATATACAATCCTTTCTATCCTCTAATAGACATACATTTTCCATATAACTATATATACGAATGTACAGCTTAAGTAAATGATTTCGTCGAAAAGAAAATTTTCTTCGCTGAATTCTCTTTTTCCTATCGAAGTCTATGGAGAAACAAATGAAATGATGCCAGATTTAATGGTAAATTTTGAAAAAAAAGATGAATTGCCCATTGTAATCGATTTCGAGCATTGTACATTTCGTCGTGAATGATCATTTATTCAATTTCGTTAGATAGGGTTATCACGTATTGATCCATGTGTTTGAGCAGTGGTAAACACACTTCACTTTTAACAGTTAGCAAGTTCAAACTCCTATTGACCGTCTTCGGTTTGAGCAACAGCATGCAATCGATGGCTGTCACACTACAGCATGGCTCGAAGTTGATTAAATTAAATATTTATTTTGATAATGCAATGAGAAGACGAAGTTTATCAGAATTATGTGATATATTAGCGCAATACATTTCGAACAATCTGATCACATATACTTGTTAAGAGCATTTATATATAAAAATAAAAGGTCGAAAAGGTTCGAAATGTATTGCGCTAATATATCACATAATTCTGATAAACTTCGTCTTCTCATTGCATTATCAAAAATTTATCAAAGGGACTAACTGTTTTAAATTTCTGAAAAGAAGACTCCCTACTTAAATATTTATTATTTTTTCTGTTAATGATGCTCAATACGATAGTTTAATCTTCAAGTGTCAGCTAGATATACATCAGAAATTTTGATTGATTGCAATTTAGATAATCTATACAAGCCTAACTTAATTCAACCTGGCATACGACAGATTTTCTACTCTGTATCAGGAAAAAATCCATATGTTCACAAAAAAGTAGTATTATGTTGTAAACGTAAAATCAAAAGTTATTCATTCAGTAACAACGTAGAGCTTCGTACTTACGTACATCAGTTGCTATACCATATTAGCACAGAGATACAATTGTCAATTCATATCCCATAGTGATATAGGTAGTAAAAGTATGAGCAGCAATCGGAAATATTGGGGTTCGAAGATGTTAGTCAAGGAGTATAATGCAGTGAAACAAATTTGGAAAGAGGAAAAGGAAAGTGACATGAAGAATTCAGAAGATTAGAATTTGGGAGAACACAAAGAGTGGATGCACCTGCACCATTACAAACCATTTTGAGTCATGTCATTCAGGGTCTCTAATCATCGGTTGCTATCGTTTCACGGACCCCAACCAGGTAGTCTGCACCTACCAACATGGCTCAGTCCACCTGTCAGTGACTTCATGGATTTGTGCCATGTTTTGGTCTGACCATCCCTAGCTTTCTTCCAACCTACTCCTACACTATAAAACATCGCACTTCGGGGCAGTCGGTGGTTGGGCAAACATAACACATGTCCCAGCCATCTCAAGTGATTAAGTTTCACTACTTTATCAATTGATTTTCCATCCTCACGTTGTACCCGTTTCTTAACAACTGAGTTACATACTTGGTGGTCCCATGATGTACGAGCAATGTTTCGAAGACACCTATGATCGAATACTAGTAACCTACAAATATTCTCTACTCTTACCGGCCATGTTTCATTGCCATAAATTAGGATAGAACGAACTGTTGCGCAGTAAACACGTCCTTTGGTTGATAGACGGATATCTCGCCTACGCCTTAAACGATGCGATTTGGCAAAAGCTAGTCGAGCCTTCTGTATCCGTACTAAGATTTCGTCACACACCAGACTCCCAAGATACGTGAAGCGGTCGACACGCTTAACTACTTTACTCCCTATCAGTAGTTCGGGTGTCGATGCAACCCAATCCTGAAGTAACATTTTGCATTTTGAGGGGGGAGAATCGCATCCCGAACATGCATACATTGTTGTTAAGAGTGGTTAGAAGACTGCATTTTGTCAGCGTCTTCACCAAATAGAACTATGTCATCGGCATATTCTAAGTCAACAAGTGATTCTCACGGTAAAAGTTCAACTGGAAATTTAGATGAGGAAAGTGTTAACCGGGTTTGTGGATATGTATTACTGAAGCTAATATTTTAGACACTATTTTAGTCAAATTGATTCCTCTGTGATTGTCACAAGAGGGCTTTTTTCTTTTCTTATAGACTGGCACGATCAAAAGTACTTAAGCCGATCGTATATGATATAAAAAATGTTTAAATACAGCCATGCATAGTCTGTTAAAGTTGTTCATTGACTGAAATTAGGCTTGTCTATATTGCTAAACCTAGTGGTATTTAAAAAGTTAGAATGATTAAGTCATTTAAATGTAACATTTTTCTCGTCGGTATCTTTGATACTGACTGACTTTTCCCAAATCCCTGTTTATTTTACTAAACAGTAAATTTACTTTTTTCCTTAACTTAAGTCTTTGTTCTCACACCACATGCTCTTAAAAACTCTTAATTTCATTCCTTATAAGTAGTAAAACGAGTCTTGGTTTGCACAACAGATTCATGCAAAAATTCCGATGCGATTATACTATTTAACCATATTTTTATTATTACTAGTAGGCAAGTGATTAGGAAACATTTTGAGCAATAAAGGAACCAGTCTGTTATTTCCAGCAATTATTAGTTAACAATAAAATGGTCCCCAATAATCTGTTCATAATCATTGTGTTGAATATATTATGGTTGTTAGTTATACAAATCAATATGTAGCTGAAAATTGCATGTAAATAGAGAGGGTAGAAAAATTGTGTATTTGTTGTAGAGAATGTAAAACACTAAGGTAATATTTGTCGCAGTGATAATGATATTTCCTTTTACAGTGTCTTTCCGAATTAACATTGTTTCATTGGTTTCCATTACATTTCATTTGTATGTTTAAAGTTGATCACTTGACCAGATTCGTTTACCTTTTATTCAATGAAGTGAATGTTTTTTTTAAATTGCATACTAGATTGAAAAAAGTTCAAGAGAAGAAAAAACGTAATCGTGCCCTTAAAGAAATGGAATTGAAATCAAAAGGATTTGAACTAGCCTCAGCTGATCATGCTCCAAATATTTTAAACCAAGATGAAAATGAAGGACAAATTCTCTTTTAATTTATGTAACATATTTTGTTACATTATTGAAGTCGACGGGTTTTATAAATATATATATATATATATATTTACGATCGGTCGATTGCGACTAAATACTGCATAATATAATTTGTATACTTTGAGAAGTAGCTAACTTCTCATCGTATGCATCTACATATGTTTTCTCTTTAATTAGTTGTATTGACATATTACTTTATCGTTTAAAGTTTTGATAATTTATGATGAATATAATTTGGTTTGTTTGAAGCAATAGTAATTTTTGAGTTAACAGTGACGTAATCAAATAAACACTTAATTAATGTTTTATTATTTTTTCATAAGTGGGGTATTCTGCTATAATTTCAAGTACTTTCCTTCCAGGAGCTATGTATACGTATCCCTGTTATATGCTTATGCATTGAATGAAATATTGCCGTTAGACCTTTAACTAGTAGTTCATAGTCCCGAAATTAATTATATTTGACAGCGCATATTTACAGCACTAATTACTTTGATTAAATGAGATTGTACAAATGTCGACTTGTTGTCTTCCTGTAGATCTTAATTGGGAAGTTGTTACGCCCTAAATTGGGACTTCAGTAGTGTGCACCACACCTTGAATCGGACCAAATCTCTTTAGATCTGCTACTGAGCTGGATTACAATATAAATTCTCAATTTCGATAAGCCCTTTAACCATTTATAGCTATTAGTGACTACTGTTACGCTGTACTGTATGGTTGGACTCGGCCTGTCTCTACTTTCCAATAAAACTTCAGGAACTTATCTGTAAATGGATAATTAGTGGGCTCAATATTGTAGTTATGATGTGGGAGTATCGCGAGGATTTTTCTAGTCTTTAAGTTCTAGTTGTCGGAGTTTAGCTTCTCCACAAGGCTTAAAAGTACTGGTTTCGATAGCTGGCGGGGCGTTTTGTAATCTGGATTTAGGATGAGACATCCTATTAGATAGGGGAAATTTAGTACTTCTACAATTTCACTTCCGAATTCAAGTTTAAAACTCCGAGTGATGCTCATTGTCGGTGAGTTTTCGTACTACTCATTTGTACTTCAGCAAACAGGATCATTCGTTTATCCACAAACCACCCTTTTGTTGTATTTTCAAAATACTTGCTTTCTGTAGTTTGTCAGTAACGATTTTTAAATTGTTGAATCTAAATAAAATCCTATTGTTTTATGGAAAAGTGAACTGTATATGAGAGTAGTTTCTGTTTGATTAGCTAAATAGAATTAAATGTTTTATCAAATGTATAATGTCCTGTGCGGGCATGCACATAATTTAGATAGTAACGGATTATTGGTTTCAACCACTTTGCTTGTAGTCACTTAAATCTCACTTTATATACCTCTATTTGGTCAGCTTGATATTATCAATGAGGCTCATACAATTCATTGTTCAATGCTCAGTGTACAAAGTTGTACTTGCTACAGTAATGACATGACATCTAAAAAAAGTATACAACACTTCCTACTGAGCAGCTTAAAAATCCCTACAGAATATTCTTCATTTTTAAAACTTCCTACTGACTTTAAGTTCCTTTTTCCTTTGGTAATATATTGCATGTCATAAACCGTGCAGTATGATTTAAATTACAAACTCATCTTCATTTTCAATAAATTACGAATGAAAAAAGTTATAACAGTCAGAAAATTTTAAAATTCTCAAAAATATGTTTGATTTACTGTCGTCATTTCTACTGTTCTTTATGACGATTTTGGTGAATTCATACGATATCAGATAAGTGGCTCATAACGTTTTTGCTTTCCAGTAATTCATCAGAGCAAAATAAATGTTTATCATTAATTGACAGGATAATATCTAAAGAATATACTTGTATGCAGGTAGAAGTCAACAAGGTTACTATAAATAAACTCATTAATGATATAACCTGGTACAAACAGTGTAAAATCTACTCATTATTAGTGCCTTGTTTCATATCTTATATTTCAGTTCACTAACATTAGAGAATTGGTATCTAGTGTTAAATATCAATCCAACTAAACAATTCATTAACATAAAATTAATCTGTCAGAAAGAAACACTAAAATACAATAAATCAGCATTAACAATAAACTGTTCTGATTTATCAAAGCATATCAATGATTTTCTGTCATTTTTAAACCGTATAAGAAGCTATGAATTAATCAAATATAATTATTGGCTATAAGTAAGAGTTACTTGTATCTCTCAATATTCAGTGAATGTCAAATTTTCATATTGTTTTTTCTTTCTTCTCTTTCAGGTTTATTAATAAAAAAAAAATATTGTTTTGATTAGTCAATGGTTAATTAAACCTATCAAAAGATTAAACAAGTAGATATGTTTCAATGTTTATAATGATAAGATACTAAACAAATTTGTAATGCTTTTTTTATTTATAGTTTGAAATAGTTAAAAATTACAATTATGACTAAACTTTAGAAGCTTTAGTGTAGTGTAGATAGTTTTGTATAAACTTTGATATGTAAACTAATGTTGGTTAGTTTTATTAAAATTTATTACTCAGTTTTACAATGATCTATTTTTATGACGGATATGTCATTGAGTTTTAAAAATGATATAAAATTAATTGAGCGACACATCCACCATTGCCATCAGTGCGTTACTATCTCACAACTGACCCGGTTGAACTCCACTGGTCATTGCTTCTCACTAGAACTCCAGGATAAACCTCTTGAAGTCATTCACTAGTGAGCATATGTTGATAGGTCCTGGGTTCGAATCCCGCGAGGCGGAATTGTGGATGCGCACTGCTGAGTCCCACAATAGAACGAAACGGCCGTGCAGTGCTTCCAGGTTTTCCATGGTGGACTAGCTTCAATTGACTCATGATCTCAACTACTGAAATTACTACAATCTCCACAAAACCCCTTCTGATATAAAATTAATGTTGTGCTTGAGATGAGTAAAAATGAATTAGAGTAAATATTAACAATTTCGTAAGTGAACTAAGGATATGTAAACGTATTTTTAAAAGATGACGATTCAAAATTCTCTTCACCTGAAAGACACATTATTGTAGATAATATACAGATAGATATTTCTAAGGTGATTTTCTTAATCGACTGATAACAGCCTAAGTTGTTGACCATTATAATGATAATTTGGGATTCACCTATGATAAATAAATTTGTTTGGATAGTAAATTTTTGAGTTTGACTGTGAGCACGATGTGTTCCGACTAGTGATTCAAATTCTAATGATTATCATTTGTAAACAGTTTATTCGTGTTATAAGGAGTGGAGACGCGTTCTATGAAACAAATCTAGATTGATGGTGAAAAAGTCACTTAACAGTGACATTGAATGAAAGCCATATATAAATTTTTCGGATCTTTACAGAATCATATATGAAAAACAAATATTTCTCTTAAGAATATATTGTATTGCCACCGAAGATGATGATAGGCTCCATTTCAAATAAAGTGATATCACTGATCGTCTAATTAAACTGCACTCGGTGAAACCTAACTAGAATGGTGAATATTCGTGTCCAATCAGTAATTAAGATTGTGCAGTAAACCTGAATCGACAGCTGAATGGAAACGTTATTTTCTATATAATTGACTGAACCAAACTAAGTAGAATCAGGTTCAAAATCTCAATTTTCCAATCCATTTTTATACTTAAGAAACATTGAGACATACATCAATCAATGAATTATCACTTCCCAAGTGTAGATATCGCATAGAAATCGACAGTTTACATGTAATCGTAAGAATTTATTAAGTTTGACATTCTTAACAAAAATTCATCGTTAGCGTTATTAAAAATAGCACCTTAGAATATACCAACATACATAGCATCTAATTTTTTGACAACTTTTAGTCGAAAATATACATGACAAGTGGATTGGGGGGGGGGTAAAATAGTACTTTGAACTGTATCAACTTCAAATTAAGAATTAAAATAAATGTTATCTATTTTTCGAAAAGGAACATTATCTAAAATGAGTATGAAAAAGTATTGAAATATGAACGAATAAATGAATTCATGATAGATTAAAGGTAACAATAGCATCTTGTTTGATATGTTATATTTGATATTAAACCAGTACAACTGGGAAGTTTCCATTTACAACAAAACTCCTATGAAGTGTTTTCTGATTTTCAATAGTTCTCCCGATGATATCAGTCAGTGATTAAAATTACCAAATAGCTAAATAGGTTATCTTTGATATAGAAAAAGTAAACATACCATTAATTTAATTTTTCCATTGAGTGAAAATATAAATATCTCGTGTTACGTCCTTGATCTGTCTACCCACTTTTGTGCAGAGGATATTTGTCTAATCTAGATTAAGACCTTGACGCGTAGGCTGACCGGCTTAACCTTGAAGCTATTATGCGTGAGTTCGAAGCGGGGTAGAGAGAAGAAAACTATTATATCATATAATTGGCTGACAAGCACGCGAATGAGAGAAGACAAGTCAACTGGAACACTACTCGATTTATTCCCAATTCCGATCTGGTTCCCGATTTCAAATCAATGTAAAAAGATACATGAATAAATAGTTAACTAACCCGACCACAACGTACAATAATTAGGAAAATACAATTACAATAGATGAGATTATGAGTCAATTGAAGCTAGACCACCATGGAAAATCTGGAAGCACTGGACGACCGTTTCATCCTATTGTAGGACTATGAGTTATACATCAAACAGAAGCTTATGATTTGTTGAATAGACTAGGGACAAAAATAAATGTTATCATTTTACTAGCTTTGAAGTAAATGAAATAACGTCCCTAAAAATAGATTCGGTAGTTTGTCAAGGCTTCTTGTTTCACTGTTCATATCATCTCGTAAATTTTATCACCTTCATACATACAGTATAAATTGATAGGTAGGTTCTCTTAAACTTTCTAACCAAATAATTTGACAGTAATGTGTTTTAGGAAATCTGTTATTACAACTGAAAATATTACATGGATCAGTAGTATAGTGAAAGTTGTGGATACATGTTATTAATAAGTAGTATTATTGTTGTGAATAGGATGCTACTTGTTTATCTGGTCGTCGCTGATTGTTATGTCGGAAACGCTTACCACTAATACTCAGAACGAGGGACCTCCACAATTCCCACGACACGAAAGTAAGAACACAAAGACTAGTATAAGTGAAGATTTATTAACTTCAAAACACGACGACGACGACGACGATAGTCGAAAATACACTCGTTTATATATTGATTGTACACACAGTTTGATTAATAATTAGGATGAAATAACATATATGAAAAATAATTAGTTATCACAAATCACATACTGAGTATAGTTCATGTCAATGGAATACAAGAACATT